CCAGTTTTTGCTTTGTGCAGGTTTGGGCCTCCATATTTGGGCCATGGTCTTTTTTTGCTTGCATGATATCTCTAGTCTGCTTACTATACCCCTTTGCCAACTTTTTATATTTTTATTTTATTTTTTTTATTTTCATTTTTATTATATATTAAATATTTTCTTTGATACATAAAAGTCCTAAAAAGTGTAAATTTCATAATATTGCATTTTTATTTTTATTTTATTTTATTTTTCACATAAAAATATATTTTATTTTAATAGATACCATATATTTTCTTAATAAATTTGTAAAATATAGTTAAAACATATTTAGTTTAATTTACTTTTCACTTCATACTTATAAATATTTATTTTTGCATATATAAATATTTTATATTTTTATACAATATTATTTATTATTTTAATACAAAAAATACTTAAAAAATAATATGTAAGAACTTTATTTTCTTTTAAAATAATAATTAGGGTTAAGCCTCCCTTTTAAAAATTAATTTCTTTGCCCTACATTTTTAGGTTTAGATTAAATTTTCTTTTACATAAAAACAAAATAAAAATCTTTTCTTACATGTATATTATATCTTTAAATATTGTATTTTGTTTATTCTAATTCGTACAAATTCGATTTGGTTGTAATAATTTATTTAGGTTTACATTTTTACAAATCCCCATTCAAATTTGTATTCCCCCCTTCCCATAAATTTGTTGTAATAGCTTAGTAATATTTACATTACGCAATTTATCGCTTTACATGCCATGATTAGTAATTAAGGTTTGTATGATAAGATCGAAACAAAGCAAAAATAGAAAACCCTAAATACAAGACAAAATCAAAGCATGAAAATGATACACTTGCACACAAGCATCTTTAGGGTTTCTCCACTTGGTTGCCTAAAACAAAAATGGCCATGTTACGCATGCGAAGTATCTTGGCAAAACAAAAATAATGATCATAGTCCCTCGATGACGTTATTCAAAAAGTTGCCTTACAAAATGATCTTGGTCCCTCAAAAATTCTAAGATACTTTGCAACATTGCTAATCATGGTTATACGATGACCCACGCTCGTCCCGTTTACATCCAAAGATATGGTTGTTTACCAAATAAATGGTAAGACAACAATGTCAAAAGAATAGAAATGTACAAGAAAGACATTTGAGTAGGTAGATTACTTCTAGTTACTTGTTCTATTTCAAAACAACTATCCTTGCTATTTTTAAAACAAACAAACACATTTCAGAACATCTTACAATCATTGAAAACACTTTCAAAAGACAAACATCTTTGTATACATTCTTACGAACGAGAATCATTGCAAAGATTTCCTAAACGTATGGCCTCTTTTACAAAATACTTTCAAAACACACCAAGCACATTTTCAAACAAACAAAAGCAAGTGATCTAAGCAAGTAACTAAGAGCCCATGGAAAACCATGGATGAAAAGGGTGCTAATACCTTCCCTTTTCATAATCTACCCCCTGGACTCAAGAAAATATCTCAAAGGTATTTCTTGTGCTTTTTCACCTTTCCTTTTGGATAAAAGAAAAGCCGGTGGCGACTCTTGCTAACCGCAACATTTGCGATAAAATGCAAAACCTCAAGTTAGTTCTCCCACCGTATCATAGTTGTTACCCAAGCATGTCAACTTAGGGTAGATATTTCCATTCAAAGCTCAACCATAGGACCACCATTGTATGATAACATTAGGGATAAATTTAGGTTAGTCTCCCCTTAGACTTTTCTTTCTACTTTTGCATTTGCATTAAAACAAAGACTTCTTTTTCTTGCAAACATAAATACACTTAAAGATTACTGATGAGAGTCATACCTTTGTTGATCATGGGAAATGATAAGAGGGTTTCTTCTCGATCTTATTGTTCTTCCATTCTAAGCCTTGGTGTGGTTCAAGTCTCAAAGAATTATTTCATGAATAAGTAGAGAAATGGCTAATATCTCTCTCTTGAGATTAACTAGTTGTTATCTGCAGCAAAAACACCAACCAACACAAACTCTTTTTTCCTACGGGCTTTTCTTTCAAAACTTTTTTCAAAAGAGTATGTTAATTCACTACTGTGCTGACGCGTAAGTCTCTAAAGGTCGAGTTGCGGAAGAAGACGAAATTAATACTGTTCGTAAAAAATATAAACCAACAAAAACTTTTGAAGCCAAACTACGGCTGCTCTGATTCCTTAAAAGGGATACGTAGGCATTGGGGTAGGGCCCGAACGAGCACAACTTTATTTTTCCCTACAATAGTTTCTCCTTTCTTTTGCATGCATTCCCTGTACAGTTTAGATATATATTCTTGCACACCCTTTGATTAGGACAACAAGAGTGGATACCGTAGAGTACTACGGGCGTGTGGGGTGCTAATACCTTCCCCTTGCGTAACAGACTCCCTTACTCGTATCTCTTGGTCGTTCGACCTTGATATCACCCTTATAATGTTTACACGATGTTTACCTTTCCCCTCTTGTGGGATCAAAAACATCCGATGGCGACTTCATTAATTTCATTATCAATTGATTGTTCAGCCGGTTGTTTCAGGTGGTGCCACCCTACACTCCATAGCTGAATGGAACTAAAAAAAGGAAGACTCAAGCCATTATGAATATGGTCAAAAGTATGTTGAAAGGAAAGCATTTACCTAAAGAGTTTTGGGGTGAATCTGTGCCGACTACAACATACATTTTGAACAGATATTTGACGAAGAAGCTAGAAGGAATTACTCCATAAGAATGTTAGTCTGGTGTTAAATCTAGCTTAGGTCATCTAAAAAGTGTTTGGATCTATAACACATAGATATGTGCCAGATCAATTGAGAAGAAAACTTGATGACAAGTCGAGTCAAATGATCCTAGTTGGATATCATTCAACATGAGGTTACAAGTTGTTTGACTCATTGAACAAGCAGATTGTGATCATCAGTGACGTGATCATAGATGAACTTAAAGAATGGGATTGGACTGAAAATCTCAAGAAAGATTCAGTGAGAATCATACTTGAAGAACCAAAAACTCAAGTCGAAAGAAAAGTTCTACAAGAGAAAGTCGGAGATCAAATAAGTATAAGAAGACCTCAGAGAACAAGACACATGCCTGCAAGGTTGCAATATTGTGTTATTACATCAAATGATATGGTCGATAATAAAGGTGAGATGGTACGTTATGCTTTCTATGCAGATGTCGAACCTGTTAATATAGCCAAAGCGTTGAAGGATTCAAAGTGGGTGAAGGCAATGAATAAAGAAGTGAATTCTATCAAAGACAACAACACCTGGTCACTTGTCGAATTGTCTCATTGCAAAAAGGAAATCGATGTAAAATGGGTATACAAGTGAAGTTAAATCCCAGAGGGGAAGTAACTCGACACAAGGTAAGACTTATGGCGAAAGGATTTCTTCATAAGGAAGGAATCAACTTCGATGAAGTCTTTGCACTTGTGGCTATAATTGAAACAATCATGTTGGTTGTTGGTTTAGCAGAAATGAATAGTTGGCACATATGTCAGATGGACGTGAAATGTGCATTGTGGAATGGACCCTTAGACGAAGAATTTTATGTTGCACAACCAGTTGGGTTTGTGAAGCATGGCTAAGAGAGAAATGTGTACAAGCTTCATAAATCCATGTGTGGATTGAAATAAGCTCCAAGAGCTTGGAATAAAAAAATTGATAGTTTTCTAAGGGAGAAGGAATTTGTGAAGTGCACAAGTGAACATGGAGTATATGTAAGAAGAAGCAAGAGTGAATTGTTTATACTATGCCTCTATGTCGATGACTTATTAATAACATGTAGTTGCAAGAAAGATATCGAAGACTTCAAAGGTGATCTCAGCAAGGAATTTAAAATGTCGGATCTGGGTGACATTTCATATTTCCTTGGAATCGAATTCTACAAGAGCAGTAGAGGTTTGATGATGCACCAAAGAATATATGCAGGAGAAATTCTCAAGAGATTTGAGATGGAAGAGTGCAACTCGAATTAGACACCTACAAGAAAATTAGTGTTTAACGACACAAAAATTGCGACAGTTATGTGATAACTGTCGTAATTTACATATAGAGACAGTGTTTACGACAGTTGACACCAACCGTCCCTAAAATTTATTTTGCGACGGTATATTTAACCATCATAATATTATTATTACGACGGTAAAACAACCGTCGGCCCCCATTTAACACTTTTAACATTGATTTTTCACCAACAACTAGTCACGACGGTAAAATTAACCGTCCTAAAAGGCATATCACGACGGTAAAGCACCCGTCGCACCCTTAAACCTTTCACGACGGTAAAATTATCCGTCCTAAAATTCATTTCACGACGGTAAAACAACCGTCGCACCCAAAACCTTTAAAAATCTCTTGCTAACTTATATATTTTATCTAATTATAATTGTTATGTATATTTAAGTTCTCTCTTGTTAAGGTTAAGTTTATGCATTATTATATATTCTATGAAGTTGATACATTCTAATGTCCTCCTGCGTCACTATTCTTCGAACATCTCTCATCTTCCAACCGGTAAGTTTTCTATAACACTTTTTCTTTGTTCTCATCTTCACATATCTCTCTCATTCTTTAACATTGATTTCACCATTGGAGATTCACATGAATCTTAGGGTTGAGCTCTTTGTGATTCAAACATCACAACAAGCATTCATATCGACATTAAACCCAATCACCAACAATAAACCCTAAAACCCCAATTTATTCACGATTCAATAAGCAATGCAAGTTATAGCGTTCATAATCACAAGGGGAAAGGGTATCGAGTAATAACACAGAAAATAGACAGAAGGGAATAACGATTTAAAACCCAACAACATACAACATCTTCAACATTTGTTGTATTCTTTCCCTCTGCACAATCGGTATTGTATTTATTTCGACTTATTTTAGGGTTTGTTATGTGAAACTTAAGTTCTATGTCTAAAACAATTTGTAACTTTTATTCTTCTTTTCTAATCCAAAGTCTAAACTGAGTTTTTGCAGGAAAATATGGATATTCTTATTGTGAAAGCACAGAAGATTGAGGTAGTTGAACTTAATTGTTATTGAACTTGTTTCTGCTACTTTAAATCAACCCACTTTTTTATCTGCTCAAGGAATAAGTTTTGTAATCTTATTTTGAAATCTCTGGATGTCAGGTTTTGGATGAAGCATACTGAAAAAAGCAAAAAAAATTGTAAACTTTTGTTTGACTTCTTCCTAATCTCTTGCAGGGGATAACTATTTCATATATTATTGAAAAAGAGTGGTTTTGAACAGGTTATATGCTTAGTTGCTTATATAAATTTGGTCATTGAACCTTGTATGTTTTTGGATAATTGGATATTGTCATTAGTTTACAACCATATTTTTGAATTTTTGATTTTTGATTTTTGTCAAGAGTGACCCTTCATAAAACTTGGGCTTTTGGAGTTGAAGAATTCCAATGTGATATGTATTTTTGCATCTGTTTCTAAGGTAATTATTGGAACTTGTACATCCCACTGAATGTTTTCACTATTAAAAAGATCACTTTACAGTTGAGTAACATTCAAGACTAGAGATTTTAATTATTTCATGTTATCATGTAACTGCAAAGGTTATTCTGAAGCTTATGGTTGTTTTTGCATTTTACCCTATGCTGGTTTTTAGAGGGATGACACATATTTTGCTCTTCCAAAGCTGATTGAGAAGCCAGTAATAAACTACTCCCAACTTGTCTCATTCCCAAAGTCGTTGTGTTATCAGTTGAGTGTGTTGATTTTTCCCGGCATTACGCTTGTTGTTAGTCCATTGCTAGCTTTGATGATTGATCAGCTTAAGCAATTGCCTCCACTCATTTCTGGTGCTCGAATTGTGTTTTATAGTCCTTTTTACACTCTCTTTTGCATACATTTTACTTTATCTGATAATAGTTAGTATGCCATTGTTCTAGTTTTTTATTGTGAATCAAACAATACTGTGATGTCTTAACGTGAATTATGTCTAATGATAGATCATTTAAATCATCTTTTGTTTATTGTATTAGACGCTTGAAGAATCATCTGAAACTCTCAGCCAGCTTCGGCAAGGCACAATAAAGGTGGGAATTTTGTTAATTGACTTCAACTTTGGCTAAAATTTTCTTTTGCATTAATGAAACTGTTGTTTATTTATAGGTCGTACTCACGTAACACATTTGCATGGTGGGTTTATTTATTATGTCAATGTTGTTAGTACCATTACTTACCTGAAGCTAATTTTAGCAATTCTAATTCATCCAGGTGCTTTTTGTTTCACCCGAGCAGTTTTTGAATAAGGAGTTTTTGTCTGCTATCTCTGCTGGGTCAGTTGTCTCACTCGTTGTTATTGACGAAGCACATTGTATATCTGAATGGTGAGGGATTTCAGTGCTGCATTGTCTAAGCAAATTCTTCCAAATCATGTTGTTAATTTGGAGATCTCACTTTGTATGCATCTACTTCCATGTTGATATTTAGATTTTGAGATTTTTTTACAGGTCTCACAATTTCCGACCTTCATTCATGAGACTTAGAGCATCACTACTTCATAGAAGTCTTAATGTAGGTTTTGTTCTCGCAATGACAGCAACTGCTACAACCACAACCTTAGATGCCATCATGTCTGCCCTAGATATTCCTTTTACAAATCTTATTCAGAATGCACACTTAAGGGACAATTTGCGTTTGTCGGCGTCTTTGATAAAAAATAGGCAAGTCAGATGCTTCTTTTACCGCTTCTGACTGTACTCCCTTTAACTTTCCTTCTCTGATTTTGTTAAACGTATGCATCAATGATAGAATGAAAGACCTACTGGTTCTGATAAAGTCTCCTCCTTTTGCGGATGTTAAAAGCATCATAGTATACTGCAAATTTCAGGTGTGTATATGGACTTCATTTTCCAAATTTTCTGGTACTTGATTTCAGAGTTATGTTGTTTTATATAGTCATCTGCATTATACAACAACAACAACCACAATATTTGAAATGTACAACCTTGTTTGCAAAGTAAAAGTTATTAAGTTCTTTATGTTTCAGGTTTAGTATGTGTCTAATTACTTAAGTTTGCAAGTAATGTTATTTTGCAGTGGATATCATATTATCATATATATTTATATATGCGATAATTGATTTTTTTTATTCAGTCTGAAACTGATCAAATTAGCAGATACTTGAATGATAACAATATCTCGGCAAAGGTAAGCTCCACATTTCACTTTTTGACATTGCATGGCATTCTGTGTAAGTGTAACCCACGTCACTGTATGTGAAATCTGACAATTGATTTGAATCATCATTTAGAGTTATCATAGTGGTATTTTTGCAAAGGAACGTGGCAACGTACAGGAGTTGTTTGCTTCAAACAAGATCAGAGTGGTTAGATTTATTTTATTGTTTTAATCACTCAATTTATCAATTTTATGGTGCAATGCTTCTAATACAACATTGCTAGTCCAACTCATACCTTGCAATTTTTTTTATGAAGGTTGTTGCAACTGTGGCATTTGGTATGGGACTAGATAAAAGAGATGTTGGAGCAGTAAGCCTTATATTATATTTTATTTTTGCATTAGTTTGCATGATGACCCACTTTTCTCATTGTGCTCTTGTTGCAAGGTGACCCGCTTTCTCTGTGTCTATGTTTTAGACCTTTGTTATCTAGCTGTATCAGAAACAATAGAGTTTTTTCTCAAAAGTTATTTATTGTTAGAAATTTCAAATTGCAAAATGGGGGTAAATGGTAATGGAGAACTGAGCTCTTTACTTCGTCTCTGTTAATGCAAATGTTCTGATAGCCACATTTTACGTAAGGCTGTTTTTCTTAGAACCACTCTGCAATCTGTAGTCACTTTTATCTTTGTTTTTCACACTACCTCATTTGCTTTGAAATGTGAATGGTCTTGTGTGTTACAATAATTCTTATTGAAACTCCATTGTCATAACTGTGTTTAGGTAATTCATTACAGTTTACCTGGAAGTCTGGAAGAGTATGTACAGGTATATGATGTCTTTTAAATTCTAATAGTAGCACATTGAGATGTTTTATCAAATGTTTTTCTTATTAAATGGAATGGCCATTGTAGGAAATAGGACGTGCTGGGAGAGATGGAAGGTTGTCCTACTGTCACCTATTTTATGATGATGAGATGTATTTCAAACTCCGTAGTCTAATGTACAGGTAAGACACTAACACACTTCTTTTTCTATTTTTCATGCTTTCAAATTGTTCTTCATTTGATGTAATTTTTTATCCTTAGTGAAGGAGTAGATGAATATGCAGTGAATAAATTTCTGTCTGAAGTGTTTCCTGCTGACAAAAGCTCCTGTGGGAAAATATGTTCGTTAATCAAAGAATCTGCTTCACGCAGATTTGACATGAAGGAAGAGGTCCTCTGCTCTATACTAATATACTATATACATTTATTTATATACTTTGATAACCCAGATGACTGATTTTCATTTACAAATTTAGACTTTTGTAACATCCAGTTGGGAGTTGGCCATACTGATATATTGATGGTCAAGAGGGATAACTGTAAATTTATGATAGCAATCTCAGGAGCACCGAAGATTTTGTATTTGGTTCCATAAGAGAATAATCATTAGCATTGTTATCTGTGGAGCATGCATGCTTTGACTTAATGCAGCTTTTATCTGTGGAGCATGCATGCTTTGACTTAATGCATGCTTTGACTTAATGCAGCTTCTGTCTCAAGTTTTGTAGAAAAGAATACATTTAATCAATGACTTCTAAAATGACTTTAAGCTGTATGATCTTAAATTCTTCCGTGTATTGAAAATCGGAAAATATAATTGTCTTTCTAGTTTATGTCCAAAAAAATTATTGCAAGTTCCAACCCTACTTATTTGATGATAAGGATATATTTCTGCTATATGCTGCCATGATCTTGTACTAAAATAGCTGGTATTTACATATGCAATCCTTTCCTGCGGGCAGATATAAAGGTGAGTTGTCACAAGCATTCTGAGAATCTTAAATAAACTCAATACAAATTATGTTTGGAAGAAGGAACTTTGAAAATGACCCGTTCCTTTGTGGATTACCAGGTTTTTCTACAGAGCAATTCACATGCTCGCTTTACACCAAGAGCTGTTGCGAGGGTTATGCACGGAATTGCAAGCCCAGCCTACCCTTATACAATATGGGGTAAAACCCATTTCTGGTACGATGAATTTTATTTTTATTCCATGTTTTTAAATACTTGGTGGTATAAAATGAATTGTGTGGCTTTTATGTAATATCAATATGTAAACCTTACACCGGTAATATCATTAAGTAAACCTTTGTCGGGTTTTCTATTTAAAGTTTTAGTTTTAGTTTTAGTTTGTAACAAAAGGGGAAACTCTAGCGAGCAATTTCCATTCTTTCATTTTTCCACTCCTATTTTTGCTGAAGGTTCAATGTTTATTCGACGTTGGTTGTCTACATATTTTATATCATTCATAAGTTGCTAAACTGAAGTTTTAATTGTGGATTGCAGGGGAAGGTATACCAAGATAGACTTTAAAGTGGTGATGGAAGCAGCAAAGGAAGAACTTAAAAAATTTGTTGGGAAGGATATTCTGTAGAGATTTATGATTGATTTTAGTATCTTACCACCTACCAAATTTGCACACCCTTATTGGTAAAAACATCTGTGTGCACATCGATTGGAGGGGGAGCTGGGGTGCTCAATCTTTTTGGACCAGTGCATATCATTGATGTTAAATATTTTTTATTGAAATTATTTTTACTATATTACAAAGTGATAGAAAATAAAACAAAAAATAATACTATAAATAAATATATTAAAGAAGAAATAATTTAAAGAAAAAAATAACACAAAAAAAAACTATAGTTAAAATTTTTTACTTAGATAATAATTTAAATAAAAAATATATATAATAGAAAAATAAAATAAAATCAAGACATAAACAAAAGTCATGGCGACAGTATCGAACCGTCGTAATCAATAATTAAAAATAATCAACAAAAGTCATGACGGTATCGAACCGTCGCCATAAACAATTTAATCAATTTCAAAAGATATTCACGACAGTATCGAACCGTCGCCATCAATAATTAAAAGAAACTCAAAAGATAGTCACGACGGTATCAAACAGTCACCAATACTTGATTATGTCAGCTCCAAACCCGTCGTAAACTTGAACGACAGTTTTTGTAACCGTCGCGAAATAGGTTGGGGACACACACTTCTGCGACGGCAAAGCAACCGTCGTGGAAAGCAAATTGCGACGGTTTTAACCGTCGTAATCTACAAAAATACCTGTCGCAATCTGCCAATTTTCTTAAAACGTTGCAACGTCAAAATATTCAGATGATGATGTCGACCTAACCCAATAAAGACGACTTATTGGGTCATTAAGATACCTTTGTCACACAAGGCATGACTTAGCATACAGTGTAGGTATGGTTTGTAGATTCATGTAGAAGTCAAAGGTATCACACCTAGTAGCGACTGAGAGGATATTGAGGTATCTGAAAGGAACTATTGACTATGGCATTTTATTTCCTACAACTAATAAAGGAAAAGAATGTAAGTTAGTAGAGTACACTGATTCAAGTTGGTGTAGTGATGTTGATGATCAAAAATCCACATAAGGATATGTGTTTATGCTAGGTGGTTCACCAATTGCTTGGAGTTCAAGAAAGGAACCAGTAGTGGCATTATCATCGTGTGAATAGAGTACATAAATGCTTCTCTTTGTGCATATCAAACAACATGGATGTTGAATTTGGTCAAAGAGATAATAGGAAAAGATCAATGGAGTAATTACCATGAAGATCGACAACATGTCAGCTATCAACCTGGAAAAGAATTCGATAGCACATTAGAACTGAGAATCTGATTGCAGACATCATGACAAAGGGTGTGCAGGTCGAATTGTTTAGAAGACTAAGAGCTATGGTGAATATAGATAGCTTAGACACAATAAATTAGGTGGTATGTTAAAAGTATAATTCCTTGTGTCGAAGAAGTTTGTTGATTGATACAAGGTGTGTCGAAATTAGTCTGTGTCAAAGTGTGTCGAGTTATATTAGTCCTTGAAGTGTCAAAGAAGGTTGCTTCCTGCAGTTTTTCGACTTAGGTCTAAAATACGTATTTTTGGATTTTATAGTTTTTGGATTTTTGGCTTAGGGATAAATAAAGCTCATTATAAATAGAGAGAGTAACCCATATTTATAGAACTAACTCAGAAAGAGTATTCACAGAATTTGGAGTTGCAAGTGAATAAAGATTTTTCACAGTTTGTGGGTATAAAGAAACTCTGTAGAAACCCTAATCTCTTTTCTTCTTTAATTTTCTTTTCATAGTTATTATGTAGTGATAACAATCTTGTTCATTAATATTGATAGAAATTCTCCATAGGTTTGGGTGGATTTCCATCATGGTTGTTCATGAGTTGGTTTCTTGAGTTTGAAAAGAGATAAAGTGGTTGAAAAAGAAAAAGCAAAGAAAAAGAAAACAAAGAAAAATGGAACAATAATCGGTGATGAAATGATAAGACCACTAGGCGGCTCGATAGAAGATGTTCCCAGTCTGCAACCCGGACAAAGGGAAACGCACGGTCATTGCATCTCCGAGAAGCAACCCATATACACCTTGTGTAACACCCTATTTCCTCGTCAAAAATTTAACCAAATATCAGAGTAAATTAATTCATAAAATAAAACATCAAGAATAGGATTCCATATCTTCATATATCATACATTCTCATATAAAAAGATACGCAACACATAGTCACTTATTTATCATGTTTGAACTTCGTTTCATTTATTCGCAGCAAAAAACATCACTAGCAATTATTGTCAACATGAGTGATAGTTATCATAATTCAAAATTAAATGTAAAACATCAATTAAATCCAACAAATAGAGTTCTACAATAGTTTACTCCCAACATAAACAAAACAAGCGCAAGATCTCCAAGTGTTACGTATCAGAGCTGACACTGACTCAATCTACACGAAATGAGGCAACTCATCAGCTAACCTTGACCTCGAGCTACTTCAAATCATCTGCATGTTACCCACATAGAGGTAAAATTTTAAACATAAGGAGTGAGATATCATAACAATATAGAATAAATCATAATAACGAGTAGATAGCAATTTAAGTATGCATAATTATACTTCTTTACCTCACACCTTTACTTCATCCATCATACCACAAGTACATCAACATATAAGCAAATATACACACAACACATAATACTCATCATAATATAACTCATACTCTTTCAGCATCTAAACATCAAGTTATCAATCATAATGTAATGAAATGAGACCGACACTGACTCAATGCATGTGGTACCAACAGGGAATAACCCTCATCATAATTCCAACTCAGGGAAGCAACATCATAACGCCAATACATGCCATCTCTCGGTAATACAAGCCATCTTTCGCCAATACAGACCATCTTTCACCAATACAGGCCATCTTATCATGAATGCATGCTACACTGACATACTACAACAAAATTTACATTGATTATTCTTAATCATCAACTCCGTGCTAATAGAGGCCATCATCATCATCATTCTCATGCAATACATCATGCAAAATAATCAAACTATTCATACAACATCATCTTACTTAATCGTAACACAATTCATGGCACATTACTCAGGAATATACAAAGATAGGCATCAATGTTTGTATAATTATCTAATATTCTCTAATTCATTTTTATAGGATAGAAAATAATTTTAGCTTCCAATCGGTTCAAACGGCACGTCAAGCTGACACCCGAGGCGAAAGTTATGCAATTTACAATTTTTGAAAAAAATCTGACATTTCAGTGGTAACCGGTTACTGCCGAGAGGGTAACTGCTTACACCCCTATGATTTAAAATTACAAAGCTACTTTCCAGTTAGGTAATCGATTCCCACCAAGACCGTATCTGGTTACATGCTCATGTTTTGCCCATCTTGCCCAAAATTGCATAGGATAACCGATTAACCCCATGCAGTAATCGGTTACACCTGATGCAAAGTTCAAAAATCTGCAATTTTTCAAGTTACGAAAATTCATATTTCTAAACCCCAATTCCCAATATTTCAATTATAACAGTATCTTCTAATTATACTAATTATTCACCAACATTGTCTATTAACTCCATTCGATATACATCATCAAATTTCACCAATAACACACAAAATGCATCAAATAATTCATCAATAGGAAAAATCCCAATAAAGCAAAATAGGGAGAAAATTAAGAACACATAATCATGAAACCTAAACACTATCATACCCCATTGTTATTCAACCCGTTATGGTGTTAGAATTCCACCCTTACCTTGGATTTTGCTGGTTCTTGACTCTCTACGGTGAACCTTCTTGCCCTAGTCTCTTCCTCTTCTACGATCTTTTACTTTGTTTTCTACGTTGTTTTTTTTTCTCTTCTCTATTCTTACTCTATTTATTCCAAGGACCCTTAAATAATAATACCAACCTTGCTCTTCTCAATTTAAATAATTATTTCATTAA